CCGGCTTTCAAAGTGCTCTCCTAAGAGCTGATGTGTTTGATCTTCGTCAGAGCCTGCCAGCTGCCTGGATGGGCTTGCTGGCCTCTGCTGACAGTGCCCCTGCGGTGCAGAGAAGGGGAGCCAGCTGATTGTGGTGACCCATTGAGAAAGTGACCCAGGGCTTCTGTCTCTGCAGTGCCTTTCCTTTGCGACTCAACAAGTTGATGGGTGCACACCTTGGCTCTCCAGTTGGCCTTAGGTGGTACCATCTTCTATTACATGAACAAGCCTCTTGGCCTCACTCATATTACCTGTTGGGCTCCTGAAGGTATCTGAGCAGTGGCTTCCAGCAGAGTGCCTAGTTTACCTTACATGCAAAGGATGTGCAGGGCAAGGTGACCTGTTCTGTCCCCAAGAGTGGATGGTTAGACATGCCTTCCAAGAGTGCAGCCTGCGGTACTGGAAATAGCACCCAGCTGTGTGATGGCAGGTATGAGGATCTCTAAAAGGACTTTGGTTAAGCCAGAGGTCGTCCCTATGGGGCGTCTATCCCCGCAAGTGTAAGGAGAGAGGAAGACAATTAGGGCTTCGTCGGATGGAGAGATGGCCCTTCTGTGAAAAATGTCTCTAAAGTCACTGAGAGCTGTGTATCAGGTACCCAGATACCTTGTCTTACCCCATCCTCACCACAGTCACGGAAATGAGTGGTTTCCTTGAACCCTCTCCGGTTCTTAAGCCATTTTCCCACTGGGAGGGTTCTTTGGGGAAGGTGGGTGGCTGGGTATGTATGGGGGCAGAAGATAGGGAGCCCTTAGCCAGCCCTGGAAATAGTAGGGACTGAGTAGACGAGAGCAAGGATTCAGACCACGCTGGCTATGAATGGAGTCAATGAGGAAGGAGTTGATGCACAGTTTCTTGTTCAGCCTTGGTACCGGGGACCCTGTTGGGTCCTCCTGATGGCTATGCAGCTGTTTGTCCTGCCTGTCTTCCCACCATGATATATCCTTCCCCAGCTCGCCCTGTCTTCAGACTCTGTGCTCACTATCCAGTTCCCCTTTTCTATCCATTGGAATTTTAGTGCCTCCTGGAAGTCTTCCTTGAACATTACAGTTGCATTTGTTTTTAGTTGGAAGAACCTAGGCCTCTTCCCACAGTCTGTCTCACCTCTGTAGCTGATAAGTCTCCCTAGCTCAAGTGGGGCCCGGGCCTCAGCCCACTCTTGGCTACCCCTACAAGCATCATGGGCAATGGACACAGCAAGGGGTCAAGTCCTTTCCATATAGTTCCTGATTCAGTCTTCATAGCAACTCACATGAGGCAACAGCTCTTCCCATGTACAGACAAGACAGTTAGAGACTCAGAGAGGCTGGGCAGTATGTCCGGAAGATTCCACTCTTGAGTAGGTCTCCCTTCAGGCCTGTCATGCTTTTGTTCACATGCCTTGCTTTTAGCATCTGGAGAGCTGGGACAAACATTAGGTAAACATTATCCTTGGTATACATGTGATTAGAGCTAGGTCCCTGTTCCCAGGTATCTGAGTAAGACCTGTGTGTGCAGGACATGGTACCTGCAATGAAAGCTGTGTACAGGACATCGTACCTGGTGCAATGAGAGCGGTGTGTGCAGGACATGGTACCTGCTGTAATGGGAGCTGTGTGTGCAGGACATGGTACCTGCTGTAATGGGAGCTGTGTGTGCAGGACATGGTACCTGCTGTAATGGGAGCTGTGTGTGCAGGACATTGCACCTGCAGTGAGAGCTGTGTGCAGGACATTGTACCTGCAATGGGAGCTGTGTGTACAGAACGCTGTTCCTTCCTGACATGGCTAGCCACTAACAAGGCACCTTACCGTATGCCCATTTCTGCCTTTTCTGTTCTATCTTTTGCATGTGTTCTATCTTTGAGGGGCATGTGGAGTCGTGGCTGCAGACAGGCCCCTGTGAATCCAGCTTCATCTTTCATTAGGAGCATGAAGCAGAGTGGCTACAGCTTGCACCTTCTGGGATCTAAGAAAAGCTCAGTGGGGTGATGAAAAGATTTGGGGTTCCTTCAGCAACTCTGGCTGCAGTTCAGGGTTCCTGGCCTCACAGAAGCCTTGAGATCAGAGTCCTCCCGCCTAGGCTGGATTCACCAGCCTGGAGGCCAGCAGTGGGAGAGGAATGCAGTCTTTAACCTGCTCCTGACAGGGCTCTGGAGGCTCCGCCTCCCCAGCTCCACCGGATCAGGGCTGGGGAAGCTGGGGATTAGAGGTCTAATTCCTCCAAGAATCCTGTTTTTCTTAGCCTCATGTGGATTGCTTTTTAGGAAAGGCCCCTCATCTAATCAGCCTGAGTCAACAGCTTCATTTATTTGGACATGTGATGCTATGAAACGGGAAACTGCTGTGTTTTTATATCACATATCTGGCTGCCCCTCCAGGATGGCATCGGGAGGGAGATGCTGTAGGCTACAGTCTGGGAGGGGCTCTTTCAGAGCCCAAAGCTAGGGGGCATAGCAGCGCTTTCTTGTGTTTCATAACATGAGAATGACCAGAGGGTTCACATACCCAGCTTTCTCTCCTCTTGCTGCTTTTGAGTCAAAAGAAAGGATTATGAGCCTCTGACCAAAATTCTTCACTCTTTTTCTCCCTCAGAATTAAGGAGACAATTTATTAACTACATCTGCAGATAGTAGGGATGGTTAGAGGAGAACGATGGTCAGATGTGGTGGCACAACTAACTCCAGCATTGGGGAGGGGGAGGCAAGAGGATCACGAGTTTGAAACCAGCCGGAGCTACATAGTAAGATGTCTCAAGAAGAAATGACACTGGTTATTAATCAACAGCTCACACTTACAGCGTGGTGAGTTATATTCTTTTCCGCCTCCTTTCTGATTCTGCCTTTTCTTAGTCTGTCACCCTTACATGCTCGGGGACAGTGAACATGCCTCTGCTATGTCCCAACCCTTCCTCTTCACCCCATACTGACTTTGGTATTGACCAAATTACCCAGATTTTCTGCCAGGCATTGATGCATGCAGCCCATGCTATTTTAACCATAAATCAAGGCAAAGCACTAACACGAAAAACATTTCCATTTTCCAGACAGGGAAACTGAGGTTCGATATCGTCCCCCCAGTCAGAGCCTGGAAGGGGTAGAATGAGTGTGCAATGCAAGCCTGTGTGACTACAGGGTGTCATGGGCAGAGTGGGCCAGACTCTGTCTTTCTGGCACTTTCCTCACCCCAGCCAGGTTCAGACTTTGGTCTTAGTGAACAAGAGCTTCTTACTGTCTACTCATCTGTCTGCAAGTGCAGGTATTTCTATCAAATGTGTCAGTTGAGATGAACACTCAGTACATTTGGACCAAATGGATGTCACCATGAATAAAGGGGCCAGAGCTGTGCTGGCTGCCTTTGCCCTTCCCTGACCACAATCACAGCCAGCTGAACTGGTTTCCTTACACCGTGTTCTGCCTTGGGCACCCCAGAGCCAGATGGGAATGAGTCAGCACAGTTGCCACCCTTTCCCCAGAGTGCAGTTGGTCACTGTTTTCATTCCCTAGACTCTGAGCACCGCGGGCTGTGTTATCATCCTTATTTTTTTTTTTCCAAATAGGATATTATGAACAGCAGCAGATATTAAGGGACAACTATCTTAAGTGGAGCGTCTGAAGAGACAGTTATTGTGTGGTCTCTCTCTCTCTCTCTCTCTCTCTCTCTCTCTCTCTCTCTCTCTCTCTCTCTCTCTCTCTCATTTTGCTGGCCTTAGACGCACAGTCCTTCTATCCCAGTCTACTGTGTGCTAAACTTACAGGCACGCCCGTCCGGTTCTTGTCATCTCCTTTATAACAGGGTCCCAGTAACTTTAGTCCCGCTACACCAGGAGCTGCTGTGCATATGTGTGTAGGACCCAGATTTGCTAAGAGTCTGGACAAGAAAGGACTAGGAGAACAGGAAGCAAATGCATTGCTGGGTGCACTGAGAAAACAAATCTCAGTGCTGGCTCTGGAAGTTTCTGAAAAAGGTAATGTTAACCCCTCAAACCATCTCACCCTGCGATTTTTTTTTTTTTTTTTTTTTTTTTTTTTTTTTTTTTTTTTTTGCTTTGGGGGTTTATCAGAGACACAGTGGCCAGGCATGTAGCAGGACTAAAGTTACTGGGACAAAGCTATAGGCAGGTCAGTGCTCCACAGGGGATTCCCAAGGGCCTGCAGGCAGCCACTGCCACCAAGAACTTCTAAGGCCAAGAAAGGGAAGCCTCGAAGCCAAACATCCCTGCGCGGTCCCGGGCAAATGTGTTCCTCATCAAGGCAGATACAAACAAAGTTTATTAAAAAGCCTTCTAAGAGGACATTCCAAATCACCAGCAGGCCTCCTCGAGGTGACTGCCCGTTCTCTTACGTACTCTCGTTCCAGCCACGCTGGAGTTTTTCAAACACCAAGTCACCCATGTGTCTCGGAAGGAAAATAAACATGCAGCTTGGGGTGACCTGGCTCTCAGTGTGAGCGTGCACTCTGTGACACTGTGGCTAGTCGGGGTGATAAGGGTGACCCAGGAACGGAGGACACACAGGACATTGAGACCTCTTAGTCTGTGGGGTTTGAACCTCCTCTTTGTACCCTAATAGTGGCCCACCAGGCAGAGGAAGCACCCCCGTGGCTGCAGAAATGGTGGTTTGCTGTAGTGGGGTAATGTCTGAGTCGGAAAGGCCACAGGTCTTTCTGCATTCTGGGCGGGGGGGGGGGGGGGGGGGGTTTTACCTCCAACTAATTGGGATTTTTTTCATCTGTGCAACTGGTGTTTTTTTTTGTTTTTTTGTTTTTTTTTCTTCTTCAGTAGATTGGAGTGAGAGTTCTCTGGCTGGAGTTAGACTTGGGATTCTTAGAGGTTGGCCCAAAGCGTGTTTTGGGTACTGTGTTAGTTACTTTTCTCAACCAGGGGAGGAACAATTTATTTTAGTTCATGGTGTCAGAGAATTTAGTCCTTGGTTGCCTATCTATGTGCACTTGAGAAGAACATCATGGGGACAGGAGCGTGTGGTTGAGGAGAGCTCTTCTCGGCTGAGCTAACCAGGAAGCAGGAAGGGAGACAGGAAGTGGTCAGGAACCCCAAGGGCCTTCCCCCTGTGATTTGCTTTTTTTCATCAGAGTTCCATTTCCAAAGTTTCCAGAACCTTCCAAAATGGTGTCTCCATTGGGAACTAGGGATACTTCATACGCAGACTAAAACAAGTTCCCTGTGGATCCTGGGGTCTTTGTAGCATAATACAACTTTCTCTTATGAGGGAACCATAGTCTGAGTACACAAGAGGGCTGGTAAGTTAGCAACGGGGAGAAAAGAGTCTGTCTCAAGTATCTCTTGTTGCCACTGCCCCTTGCGGCATTTTGGGCCTCTCCCCTTCCTAAAATTCCATCGCTTCCTGAACAGGATGGCATAACTACTGCCTCCTGCCTTTGGTGTGAATGTCTGTACCAGGATCTAAACTGTTAGCAAAGACTGTGATACATGAGCATAGTTATTGCTACCTTTTTTACCCACTAAAAATATTTATTACTTTGTGTGTGTGTAAAGGTGTCTGTGTCATAGTGTATATGTGGAGGTCAGAGGACAGACAGTTTGAAGGAGTTGATTCTCTCTCCAAAATGAGGTATCGAACGCTAGGCAGTTCGGGTTGTCAGGCTTGGCACCTTTTCCTGCTTACCCCATTGCTACTTTTACTGTTGATCCTTCCTATTTCATTTCCTTATTCAACATTTTGGGGAGATAAGGAGTGTCTAGAAAGGAAAGGAAGAGTGGAAGAAGAAAGAGGGAGCCCAGAGCAAGAAGGGAAAACTTGATACTGCTGCAAATTCGACTTGTGGGCCCAGAGAGATAGCTCAGCAGTTAAGAGCACGTGCTGCTCTTGCTGAGAATCAGGGTTCAAGTTCCCAGCACTCACACAGTGGCTAACAAGCATCTGCAAGTCCCATGCCAGGTCATCTGACGCCCTCTTCTGGCCTCTGTGAGCACTGCATGCATGTGATACACAGACATGCAGAGGAAACATCCAGATACACAAAAATAAATAAACCTTAAAAAAGTCCACTTGTAACAATTTATTGATAGTTTCCTATGAACAGATGTTGCACATAGAGACTGGAGTAAGCATCCCTTGTGACAGTTCTGCACTACACATCACAAAGAAGGGGAGTGAAGCTCAGGGGTGTCAGGGATGGTCCAAACCCAAGGCATGGACAGGAGGAATGGAGACAGGTAGCTTGATGCCACAGCCTGACTCCCAGCCTCTCACAGATCTCCAGCTCGGAGGCAAGGGATGCCCTTCCACTAAGGTTTTGGAACACTCACTTCTTTCTGGGAAGAGTCCGACTGGAACTGCTAACGGCACTCTGGAGAGGTTTGTCCTGTCACAGAGTTGTGTACACAGTCAGGGAAACACGTGGCAAATTTTGGTGATTCTAGTTTCCCTGACTCTAAGCTTGTGATTTTGAACCCTGTTGCCCAAGCTTGCTGCAGGAGAACTTTGCGAAATCCTTGCCTTGTAGGCTGCCCAGAGGGTTCCATCAGCATCTCCAGGAAGGTGAGAGGACCCACATCTTCTTAAACACTGGCTGGTCCAAAGAGCATCATCTGGGCCCAAGAACCCCTCATAAGACAACCAGTTGGTGCTGAAACTCTGCTCCTATTCACAGAGCAGGTGAGGGTGCTGTGGACTGGAAGTGGAGGATATGTTGAAGCAAGGGATATGCATGGGTGGGAAGGTGGTTAAAAAGGGGAGAGATCAAACACTGCAAAAGGACATATGAGATCAAAGCACAGAGAGCCTAAGTGTCTGGGTGCAGATGCGCCCAAGGCAATGGAAGAGCTGGAATCACAGCAACAGTTGATGGCAAATGACTGAGATATTTTGTTACCGAGGAGATGCTATCAGCATCTCCATGGTGAAGTTTTCTAAGGCTCAGTTCTGTACCCAATTCTTTGCTTAACCCAGTGGATTTCAACCTTCCCAGTGCTGTGACCCCTTAATACAGTTCCTCTTGTTTAGGGTGACTCCCAGACATAAAATTATTTTGTTGCTACTTCAAAACTGTAATTTTGCTACAGTTAGGAATTGCAATGTAAATATCTGGTATGCAAGATATCTGATTTACAACCCCTGTGAAAGGGTCATTTGATTCCCACCAAAGGGGTCGTGACCCACAAGTTGAGGACCACTGTCTTAATCCATTCTTTCTCTAACTAGACTCACCCATGCCAAGGATTTCACTCACCACCTGACTCCCAGGTTCCCATTTCTAGTTCATGTGATTCCTTGGAAACTCAACCCACTCATGATGTGACTCACCTGATATCTTCATTTGTATGGCACCCAAACACCCAGTGTCCTTCAAGACTGTCTCCAGCCCAGGCTGGCCCTAGTGAATGACATCAGGACTCAGGCTGGACCCTCCCTTCTCCCTCACGGCCTTATCTGTCACCAGTGACTCTCGGTACCTGTTCCCTTGGCACCCGTTAAAGACATATCTACCTCTGTCCTCTTTTCAACCATCTGAATTGCCATGCCTCTAGCTAAGCCACCAAATATGTCCATTTATGCTTACGTGATGACTTATGTCTGTCACCCACTTGGTTCTATCTTGTATAAGGGCAGCGACTGAGGTCATATGTTCTCGGCACCTTACCTCACACTCAGTAAACATGTGCTGGGTTCCTGAATGAATAACTTTATTTTACACTTTCAGCTGATGTGAGGGTTATTGATATGGTACTTTCTCGAACGTGGGCTGCAGATCTTCAAGCTGAAACTGGAGGCAATGCATTCAGATGGTCTAGGGGTTTAGGCCTTTGTCTATGAAAGTTGAATGAGGGGATTCTAGGGAACCGAATGCTCCGAGATGAGAACCAGCCTCTCATTAGGTCATGCACATGCGCACACACACTTGTTTGTGTCCCTGGCAAGCTCTTGTGCACTTACTTGGTAGGCATCTTTATTTGGGGAATTAATTATAAAACCAACTCCGCACTATTTCTGTGATTATGGAGCAAACAAACAAGAAAACTAATTTCATGCTGCCTGGCTTTCTGGCAAAGGGAAAATTAAAAATAGCATTTTCACGAGCTGCCCTTTGAAAGTGCTTCTCTTGGTCAGAACAGTTCCCCAGGGAAAACATCATGATTCCAAACCTACTCCATATTGGTTCCTGCTAGAGGTGACAGATTCTGCTAACTCTGGACCGTGACATTCTGGGTCAAGGTTACACATGCTGCCTCTGCCATCAGAACAGCCCAGTGCTAACATATCCCTTCTTTCAGGGAAAGGTCGTAAGAAGTCTTCTGTGGCATTCTAGTAGAATGGGTGATGGGCAAGACTTGAAGGGAAGTGCTCTGGAGACCAGGCCCTCTTTCAGATCCTCCTAGTCTAAGATGTGTCTCCAAGGAAACCCCGAGCTTGATTGCTTTTCTTGCTGTCAAGGGGAAGCTGAGTTTCCCTAAGGCAGAAATCACAGGAATTCACTCAACTTATCTGCTGGCCTGTGAGGGTGCTCGGGATTTGCGTGGTGAGGGCAGAGGTATAGCCAAAAAGTTGTTAGGAACTAAGTCTGGGATTAGAGAAACTAAGTTATCTTCCTGGATCTGCCACTTCTCCTGGATGAGAATTTGGGGGCAATTTCCTAAATAATATTTAGGAAAATATTTTTCTCACCCATGAAAAGGAATGATGATACTAGTTATGTTACTATATAAGATTTTGTGAGTTGTATCGATCCAATGGTTCAGCACCTAGCAGCAGGAGATATACCTGAAATTCCTTTTTGTGGATTCCACTACAAGAAAGTTCTCAGGCCTTCAAGTTCACTGCTCATTTGAATAAAAGAAAAATAGAAGCTAGAGGCTACTTCCCTTTGCTGCTGTCTTATGAAACAAATCCTCAATTTAGAACCCACATATTTGGCCGACGAAATGCCATCAGGAGACATGAGCTGGAACCTAGCATCCCCAGCCAGCAGCCCCTTCTTTGTATATGTATTATAGATCACAGTGCTTAATGCTGCTTTACTAACTCTTGTTAGGTTGATCTAAGCATATATTGTTTTAAACTAGTGGTCAAACCCACAATCTTATGCAAGCTAGGTGTATTCTCTTTCGCTGTGCCACGGTCCAGTTCCCCATCTTTGGTTTCTCCTGAGGCAGGGAATTGTTAAATTGCCTAGGATAGTTTGGAACTCAAGATCTTCCTGTCTTAGTGTCCTGAGTATCCGAGATTTTGTTTGCCATCGTACCTTCTTTCTTTGGGACTCTTTCTCCTTCAAAGAGGCACATAACAGAGACTTGTCGGTTGTTCTTGGCCATCAGAGAGTACAGAGCAGGAAGTCCCGTTTATTTTTGGGCTAAGACTTCAACCACCCCATACAGATGACCCCTAATGAGGTCAATACAGCAGAGGCAGCATCCACTCTGAAGGGCTGCTGTGCAGGGCCAGGCCCGTGCCTGGTGTGAGCTTGACTAGGGAGACTAAGGAGGCCAGCTGACTCGTACTGACTCCTTAGGCTGCCATCTTGTGGCAACTGCCCTTAGTCCAGTTCTGCCTGCCAGTTCTAATGTCTTCAAAGACGCCCCTCCTTGGTGTCTTACATAATACTCGCCTGTTTTGACATGTGGGGCTCGGAGTCTTAACCTCCTCTAGAGGAGAAAAGCAGAATGGGCAAGACAACTCCAGAATGGGGCTTCTCCGCGTAGGTCATCCAGGCCAGCGGTAGCTGCAGGGTGACCAGGCGATGTGTCTGGGGCAGCATGGCACTGGCACGAGTGAGGGTCACCACTTATGTGGCTGAGCACTTCTTATATACGAGCCTATTTACTCCTAACAACAGCCTACTGAGCTATACCCTGCTTTCCATCCCCACCGGCAACGGGCTCTCACCACGTAGTCCCATCCAGCTTAGAATTTGATATGTAGGCCAGGCTGGCCTTGAACTCACAGAGACCAGCCTGTTCCTGCCTTCTCAAGGCCTGGATTAAAGGTGTGTGCACTGCACCTGGCCTATTTCCCCCATTTACGGATGAAGAAACCAAGGCACGGAGACGTTGAAGCTCAAAATTTTGAAGTAAATTTGTGTTAGAATTGGAATTCAAAACTAAGGTTTTTCTAACTTTAAAGCCCATGTTCTACCATCCCCTACTGGCCTCCTGCACAGCCCTGGAGGATAGGCTGTGAAGCCGCATACCTGGGAGCCCGTCCTGGCTTAGCAACACTCACTCACTTCATCTCAAAGTGGTGCGTCCTCACAGGATGGTAGAAAGGACCAAATGAGCATGTCGGTACACTTAGTACAGTGCCCAGGACAGGTGAGGCCTCAGAATGGAGGCCTTCCCTTTGGTTTGGAAGGAAAGAAGTGGGGGCTCTCACCTTTCTGCTTTGACCCTCTACCTTTGAAGCCTCTTCCTCCTCCTTTCAGCTCCAAAACACTTTTTGTATTAACATCAGGAGTTCCTTGACCCCCAGGTTCATTTCTTCATCGAGTTAGCTATCTGGGCCTCACAGGAAAGTGTAAAGACCTTTGAACTTGAACTGAGGAGGTCTTGCCGCTAGTACAGCCTCTCTGAGCCTCAGTTTCCCCATCAGGGAGACAGGAGAGCTGTCCATACCCTGGGCTGATGGGCATGTGCGGTGCATATGCAACCACTTCCTGATTCCCCATCCACCGTAGACCATGATTAATCAATTGCAGCATCTTCGTTCGTGATCCTGAATGTGGCACAGAGTCCTCCCTCACACATGGAGGCAATCACTGTCAACTGCTTAGAGTTGAAATGACAGTTGGAGCCTCTGGGATATTTCTGGAGCCATTTGCTAAAGGACCCTTTCAGCTCTGCCACTGTGGCTCTAGCAACCGTACCCGGTGGTGCTGAGAGAAGGCAAGGAGCCTAGGTCTGACCCCTATAACGAGTGTATCTAGCAGCTTTGTCATTTTGGACAAGTAACTTACACTCCCTAAGCTCTGTTTCCTAATTTGTAATTTGGGAGTTTTAACACATGCTCTCTTTCTTGGCATTACCGTGAGACTGAAACCTCTGTAGCTTTTTGTCGGTGGGGCCTACACATTACAGCCACACCCTCTGTGTTTAGGACAGGGCCTGGTCCAGAGCAGCACGGTAGAATGTTAAATCTGTAGAAAGAGAAGGAGCCACAAACACATGCAGAATGTCTAGAGAAGCGGTACTCAGTCTTTACGGAATATAAAGGTAGTGACCGGAGCCCTTGCAGCATGTACATTCCAAGGTGCCAAGGAGATCATACAGATGGCTGAGGTGGGGCTTGGGTAGCCTGTTTTCAAGCGGCCATCCTAGGAATCCTGCTGTAGGCAGTCTGTGGGAAGCCTGGGCTCAGGATGAGCGTGGCAGTTAACACCATTAAGTCGGCCTGCCTTTGTTTTCCAGGAGTGCCTCACACCAGGGAGGGAGGTACAGGGAAGGATAACTGTGCCTGCTTCTCACACCTTGTTGGCTACCTGAGACACAGGTCCCCAGCTGACAGATGCTCTTAGCTGTTACACTCTGGCCTGAGAGGCATGCTCAGAAAGGTCACAAGTAAAACGAGAGCACCAGGGTCTGAGGCCATTCTCAGCTGTCTTGTGAGGATCCTACATAACTCTCCTCAACTTCAGCTACAAGCCCAGATCATGTTCTTTGTGAAGAAACAAGAACAGACTGGCTGGTGAATGTGTGTGTGTGTGTGTGTGTGTGTTTGTGTGTGTGTGCGTGCGCGCGTGTGCGTGCGTGTGTGCTCTGTGATCCCATGCTGATTTAACTGTCTACATGGATCCAAAAACAAGAAGTAGAAAGTAAAAAGCAAATTAACATCTGGGCCTTTTATTCTTCTTCTCTGCATTCAACAAGCAGAGAGCTTTGCAAAGCCCTATTCTGTAGTTGGTTGTTTTTCTACTCTTACTCTTTGGACTGTTTTGCTCTTTATTCTTTTGGGGGACCTGCCACCCAGCTCCCAAATAAATACATGGAGGCTTATTCTTACTTGTAAATGCCCGGTGTTAGCTTGACTTGTTTCTAGCCAGCTTTTCTTAAATTATCCTGTCTACCTTTTGCCTCTGGGCTTTACCTTTTTCTGTTTCTGTATATCCCTCTTTATTTCTTATTCTGTGGCTGGCTGTGTAACTGAGTGGCTGGCTCCTGATCTCCTCCCAGATTTCTCCTTCTGTTTATTCTCTCTGCCTGCCAACCCCCACTTATCTTTCCTCCTGCTTCACTATTGGCAATTCAACTCTTTCTTAGCCCAATCAGGTGTTCTAGGCAGGCAAAGTAACACAGCTTCACAGAGTTAAACAAATGCAACATAAAAGAATGCAACACATCTTTGTATCATTAAACAAATGTTCCATAGCATACACAAATGTAACACATCTTAAAATAATATTCCATAACATCATTCATTAGGTAGAAATGGAAGTCTCTCAACCTGTGCTTCAGCGTGTGCTAAGGCAGTCTATATGGAGATAGCTCCCATCACAGGAACCCCTGCCAGCTCTCTGCTTTCAAAACCAGGGCTCAGTGGGCATAGCCTGAAATTCCTCTGGTCTCTTGGTACTGAATTTGGAACACCAACTGATGTTTCTCAACTGATGGCCCCGCATCCCTAGTGATAGTGTCTTGGGTTCTTTGTCTCCCTGAGTTCTGCTGTGGTCCCCTGCCCCAATTTAGATACTCCACTGTGTCTGTTTCTGCAACTCTTCAAACCCTACTAACTCATGACAAGTTCACCAGGACTTAGGACAAGCAAGACATCATCAAAATTGGGTTAAAGGAAGCCTAGCCTGAGCCACATGCCTGCTTTTGCTTGGTCTTAGATGGCTAGGAATATTTTGGAGAATGTTCTTGCTGAAGTAAAGTGTGACACCTGGATGTCCCACTCAATACCCAGACTCCTTTAGGGCTCCCTGCTGCCCTAGCCAGTGCTTCCTTTCTCCCAAATGAAACCAGATGACTGGGGTGGGCAGCAAGGGTAGTTTGAAGGGACCCAGGGAAAGTTGAGCTTCTGATCCACCAACTGCCCCAACCTGCTTCTGAACGGGTTTATCCATGAACAAACACCCAAATTTCTTTCATCTCCCAATCACCCAGAATCTGATCCCTTATTTAGTCCTGAAACGCGGAAGCTAATCTTTTATTTATCTCTACTGTAATCCCACTTCAGGCTCTGTATGGAACATTCCCACTAGGGAACAAACTCTAGGATTTCAGAAAGACCCCCAGTTGGGAAAGTATAAGGGTTTAGGAGGGAAAGTAAAACCAGGCTGAGGATGTTTTGGCTCCGTGTGTGAGCTGGAGGAAGAATGCAGATCATTTGGGTTCCTGGGGTAGGTAATGAGCTTTTTGGGTAAGCTCCTGATCACTTAGCCACAGAGGATGGGGGAAGAGCGGGGATGCTTTGCTGAGATATCTCACAGCCTTTTCTTTTTTTTTTTTTTTCCTTTTTCTTTTTGGGTTTTTGAGACAGGGTTTCTCTGTAATTTTGGAGCCTGTCCTGGAACTAGCTCTTGTAGCCCAGGATGACCTCGAACTCACAGAGATCTGCCTGCCTCTGCCTCCTGAATGCTGGAACTAAAGGCGTGCACCACCACTGCCTGGCTTCACAGTCTTTTCTTAATGGCATCTTGGCCCTAAAGCCAGAAAAAAGATCACTGAAAGTCACTGCTGCTCAGAGTGTAAGTTTTACTCCTGGTGGATTGGAGCCAAACTGCAGAATCAGCATGGAAGATAGGGACAATGCGGTAGGTAGAGAGAAGGCCTGCCCCTTCTCCCCATCTGCCCAATCTCAGCCAGTTGACCCAAACGCGTGGCCTCTGACTGGCTTCTAGAATACCCTCTCTGTTCATTTCCACCTTCATCTCCCATTCATCCCCTCTGCTCTGGTCTGTCACTGGTGTTTCTGAGATTCAGCTTCAAAACGTAGAGATGGGTGGGTCTTTGAGGTCTAGTCTAACACCTTCCCATTTAACAGATGTGAGGTAATAAGAGCCTGAGAAGAGGTGGGGCTTTCCCCCCAGAGTCTCATCACTCAAGAAAACATAATGGTTAGTTTCTTCCATTGTTCAGATCTGTGTACCTAGGGCTGACTCATTCTCAAGAGGCAAATGTGTTCTTGTGACCAACATCAGCATCTCTTCTGAGTGAGGCCCTATGGCTCTGCCTCTACCCTGGTCTACTTCATTTTTCCTGCCTCTTCATTTGGAAATTATCTGATGGTCTCCAGAGAAAGATTTGCAAGCACTGTTGGTGTCTTTCAGTGACCCTAGCTGGGATGTGCTGTATATGAGGAGCCGCAGGAAACTCTTCAGAAGGACGCCTCTGTCCTTTGGGATCTCACTAGAGACTGTCTGTTAGTTCATGTATGGTGCTACACCAGGATTCCCGAGGCATGGTGGCTTCTCAATAACAGGACTTTCTTCATCACCGTTCTGGAATCTGGGAAATCTGTCATCAAGGTACCATGAAAATCTACATCTGATGAGGGCCAGCTTCCTGCTTCATGCATGGTGTTAGGGTTCTCTACTATTCCAACAATGGCTGTCTTCCAATGGGAGGTCTAAGAGTCCAATAGCTGTTCAATCCCATGATGCTGGGTGCCTCCACTGGTCTTCTGTAGATGCCAGAATCCTGAAGAACTAGGCCCTAATGCCGGTGAAGGAATGAACTTGCCAGCGAGAGTGAGGGCAAACAGGCAAGATGCAATCCTTTCCTTCTTTTGTGTTCTTTACATAGGCTGACAAGAAAAGGTATGGGCCAGATTTCAGGCAGATCTTTTCACCTTCAAAGATCCAGACATAGGGTAGGTCTTCCCATTCCAAACGATTCAATCAAGAAAAGCCTCTCTCATGTGTACCCAGCCACTTGGGTCTTAGTTAATCCTAGATGTAGTTGAGTTGACAATCAGAATAGCCAGATCACAGGGTATCTTCTGGAGTGTGGTTACATGGTGGAGAGGCAAGACAGCTCTTTGGGTCTCTAATCTCATACACGAGGGATCCATCTCCAAGACCTAATTACCTCCAGAAGCTCCTTCCTCTTGCTACCAGCATATTGATCACCAGGTGTTCAGCATACAAATTTATGGGGATGATAAGCATTTGGATTACATCAGAAAGAAAGAAAATTGTTAAGATCTGTAAGACCCAGGGCACCTGCCTTAGTCCATGTTCTATCTTTGTGAAGAGATGCCATTACCATGGCAACTCTCATAAAGAACATTTATTCCGGGCTGGCTTACAGAAGTTTGTTTCATTGTCATCATAGTGGGAGCGTGGCGGCATACAGGCAGACATGGTTCTGAAGTAGCTGAGAGTTCTACATCTGGATACAAAGACAGCATGGGGAGAGAGAGACGGGGAGAGAGAGACAGGGAGAGAGAGATAGGGATAGAGAGAGAGTTAAAGAGAGAGAGAAATAGAGAGAGAGATAGAGAGAGAGAGAGAGAGAGAGAGAGAGAGAGAGAGAGAGAGAGAGAGAGAGAGAGAGAGATGGGCCTGGTTTTAACTTTTGAGACCTTAATTCCCACCCACAATGACACCAACAAGGCCAAACCCACTGTAACTCTGGTACACAGGGTATCTGATATTTGACCCTTGAGAACCACTGGTTTAGGGGGGTTATCTTTGAAGTGGACCAACTCTCTGTTCCCAGCAGCCATTACTTACTTTTTTAAAAAAATTCTTCTTTCATACAATACACTGACTCAAGTTTCTCCCCACTTCGCCCAGACATCCTGTCTCCCCGCTCATGTCCGCTCCCCCCAGATCCACTTCTCTTCTTCTGTCCCCTTTCAGAAAAGAACAAGCTGCCCAGGAATCCCAGAACTTTGAAGGAAGAGGCAGGAGGATCTCTGAGTTTGAAGTCAACTTGGTTTACACAGAAAGGCTCTGTCTCAAAAAAGGTAAAATTAATTAGCTAATCAGTAGAATATAGTATATTCATATGGAATTAAAATCTTTATTAGAAATAAATCCTGTCATCTTTTTTAAAAATAGAGTTTTGTAAAAATGCCAAGCAAAGAATATGGTATTTGGTATGAAACCTAATTGTTTACAAAACAACATAAATGTTACCTTTTATATCTACCCATACATAGTTTTTTTTTAAATACAACATTTATATATTGACCGAACTGGTAACAACTTGGTTATAATGACAATCGTTTTTTTTTTCCAGAGAATGTTATAAGGGCTGTGTGTGTTTAAAAATACTCATGACATTACATACAATATTTTTTTAAGAGTTAAAAAAACCCTCTAAAATAGTACAAGGAGACAACTGTCAATTCTGGGTTATGGTTCATTAGCATGAACAGTTTTTGAAAGCCAATTAGACAAATTTCTATGCTGTGGGATGCAGTGTGCCCTGATGAATAATTGTACCTGCCTACTTCTGTCTGAGTGGTGGGATTCAAAGTGTGTAACAACACACTCACTGTGCCCCTTTGCTTTGTTTTTGATTTTTGAGACAGGGTTTCTCTGTGTAGCCTGGCTGTCCTGGAACTGACTCCGTAGACCAGGATGGCCTCAAACTCAGAGATCCACCTGCATCTGCCCCCAGTGCTGGGATTAAAGACATGTGCCACCACATCCAGATGTCATTGTGCCCCTTTGTGATGAAACAATGTCACAGTTTCTTCTCCCCACTAAATATTACTTCCCCTAACTCTTATCTTAATAATAATCATAATAAAAAACTATGAAAGATCTAGTGCATTACATTTGTGTGTTATTTATTTATTTAAGTATTTATTTACTTTGATTGGCCTGGTTCTGACAAAGGTGTTAAAGAGAAACAGGGAGATGAAGTTGAAGAATGATATTGGTAATATTGTAAGTTCATTATTACAAAGAGAAGGGAAAATCCAGAGGCAAAAGGTGGACAGAATAATTTAAGAAAAGCTGGCAAGACAAAAATCAAGCTAAGGCTGGCCATTCATAAATAGATTGGAGAGAAGACAGAGGAGCATGGGAAGTAATGAAACACGGGGTAAATTGAAAAAAAAAACATCTTAGGGTTCAAAATATGTGACAAAATATCATGACCCAAAAGCAACTTGGGGAGAAAAGGATTATTTGGCTTACACTTCAGCATTGCTCTTTGTTCATCACTGAAGGAAGTCAGGACAGGAACTCAAGCAGGGCAGGATCCTTGAAGCAGGAGCTGATGCAGAGGTCATGGATGGACGCTGCTTACTGACTTTTGTCCCATGATTTGCTCAACCCACCTTCATATAGAACCCAGGACCAGCAGCCCAGGGATGGAACCACCCACCATGGGCTGGGCCCTCCCACATTGATCACTAAATGAGAAAATGCCTTAAAGCTGGATCTCATTGAGGCATTTCCTCAGCTGAGGCTCCTTCCTCTGATGACTCTAGCTTGTATCAAGTTGATACACAAAATCAGCCAGTACAAGAATCAGTTGAGTTTTAATCAGAATTTGGGATGAAACAGTCTGACAAGACTCGGCAGAAGGGGATGGAGGCGGAAGTAATAGCACGGGCTGTTGAGGTGATGGAGGCTGATGCCTGCCTATCTGTTGCCACTGCTACCACACAGGGGCCACCCAAACCTGGTTTCTCTTTTGATGGCTCCACCTGTTACTGATCAAGGAATTTATTTAATTTTTTTTTTAAAGACAGGGTGTCTCTGTGTAATAGCCCTAGCAGTCCTGAAACTCACTCTGTAGATTAGGTTGGCCTTGAACTTGGAGTTCTACCTCCCTCTGCTTCCTGAACGCTGGAGTTGAAGGCAAGTACCGCCATGCCTAGCTTGGTTTTTAAGATGATAAACAATGGGGCGAACCATCTCAGGTCTGAAACTGAGCACAAGAGAAGAACATAGTTCCCTACTGACTGCCGAGGAATGAAGGCACTGCCCTGCTGGTGCTTTGGTGCCTTCAAAGGCGCTGTGGTGACCCTAAAGTGATTCAGCGGACGGGAAGGATTTAAGGACAAGCTATCCCTTCCGCATTTCACAATCAGTCACAGATCCAACCTTCCAGGAGGCCGCCTCCATTAAAGTCAAGAATCTGTCACAACTTTGCAGGTTGTACAAAACAAAACAGAATGACCACACTTCGCCCTTCCCTTGCAAGGTAGCAAAGAGCTGTAGAGTCACTTCAATCTGCTGTGTGGGAAAATCTGTCTGTCTGGTTACCTGCCTACATACACGTTCAGCTAGAAGAAAACCAGGGCTAGACTGAGTGAGCTTAAGAACAAAAGGATGGTTTATCTAATAAGGGATAAGCAGTGAATTTGAAGAGTTACTATTTTAAGAAATGATCTCAGCCTCATTGTGTGACTTACCGCTCCTCTTAGCTGTTGGGAATGGTAGCTGGGGATCTGGCGTCTGCTTCTGTCACTCTCACCTTCTAACTCATAGCTACCATGCAAGAGTATACTTTCATTGGCTAGGCTGGTGTCCAGATCTGCAACGCCTGCTGGGAGATCTATTGCCTGGAACATGGCATCCAAGCTGATGGCCATATGCCAAGTGACAAGACTATTGGGGGAGGACATGACTCCTTCAACACCTTCTTCTATGAGACAGGCATTGGCAAGCATGTGCCCTGGGCAGTGTTCATAGATCTGGATGGAACTCAGAGTTGGTGATGAAGTTCACACTGGTTCCTACTGCCAACTCTTCATCCCCGAGAAGCTCATCACAGGAAGGAAGATGCTGCCAATAACTATGCGAGTGGACACTACACCATTGACAAGGAGATTGCTGATCTGGTTTTGGACTGAATTTGAACACTGGCTGACCAGTGCATAGCTCTTCATGGCTTCTTGGTTTTCAGCAACTTTGATGGGAAACTGGCTCTGGGTTCACCTCCCTGCTAATGGAGCATCTCTCTGTTGATTATGGAAAGAATTCCAAGCTGGAACTCTCTGTTTACTTAGGTCCCAGGTTTCCATTGATGTGGTTTAGACCTACAGTTCCTTCCTTACCACCTACCCCACACTGGAGCATTCAGATTATGCCTTCATAGTAGACAATGAGGCCATATATGACACCTGTTGTAGACACCTTGATATTGAGCGTCCAACCTACACCGCCTTATTACCCAGAGTGTATCTTCCGTCACTGCTCCCCTCAGATTTGATGGGGCCCTGAATGCTGACCTGACAGAACTCCAGATCAACCTGGTGCCCTCTCCCCATATAGGGAAGTGCCCCTTTGGCCACATATGCCCGTCATCTCTGCTAAAAAAAAAAAAAAAAAAAAAAAAAAAAAACAAGCCTACTATGAGCAGCTTTCTGTAGCAGAGATCACCAAAGCCTGCTTTGAGACAGCCAACCAGATGGTGAAATGTGATCTTTGCCATGGTAAATACATGACTTGTTGCCTGCTATACCATGGTGATGTGGTTTCCAAAGACGTCAATGCTGCTATGGCCATCATCAAGACCAAGTGCAGCGTCTGGTTCGTGGATTGGTGGCCCACTGGCTTCAAGGTTGGCATTAATTACCAGCCTTTCACTGTGGTACCTCGTGGAAACCTGGCCAAGGTTTAGAGAGTTGTGTGCATGCTGAGCAGCACCACAGCCATTGCTGAGGCCTGGGCTCGCCTAGATCACAAGTTTAATCTGATGTGTGCCAAGTGTGCCTTTGTGCTTGGTATGTGGGTGAGGACCTGGAAGAGGGGGAGTTCTCTCAGGCCCATGAGGACATGGTTGCCTTAGAGAGGGACTGTGAGATTGGTGTGCTGAGGAGAGGGCGAGAAAGGAGGAGAGGAATATCTGTCTGTTCTTTTGTTTGTTTGTTTTTGGTTGTTGGTTTTTCAAGACAGGGTTTCTTTGTCTATGGCCCTGGCTGACCAAGCTGGCCTTGAGCTCAAAGAGATCCTCCCGCCTCTGCCTCCCAAGGGGTTAAAGGTGTGCCTCACCACTGTCTGGCCCAATCCATTCTTTCAGCTCTGTTATCATGCCAAATTCCCAAAACTTCAGCTTCAATATTAGCTGACAGACACCAGTGGTTCTAATCGTGTTATTTTCCTTCTGTGATCATGTCTTATCTTCTTCATGTGTACCTGTAAGGTTTTCCCGTGATGTCTCAAAGAGAAAGCTTTAAGAAGAGGCTGCCTGGGATAGGTAGCAGAAGTCAGCCAGGCTTCAGGGTGGGGGCTGCTATGATGGACAAATATGCGATGGAGAGGTGGGAAAGAGAAAACTGGAGCTGTCTCTGTGCTGTAGAGAGGCAGAAATGGGGATGAATTGACAGTGACGGTGTTGACCCCTGGGGCCATGGTGATGTTCAGGTCTGTGCTGCCACAGGGAGGGGGAGGGGGCATGTCTGGGTCTGAGGTTCTACTGCAGCCCGAGTCTGTGGTGGTCCATGTTACCATCAAAGGCCATGCCATGTCCAAGATCTGTGCTACAGCCTGAATCCTCATTGATGTCTGTAGCTTATGCTGACACACAAAGCCATGCTGATGTCTGTGGTCTGGGCTGCCTCCAAGGGCCTCTTCTGGGTTAGTAATTCTACAGCAGCTGGAGCCTGTGTTCGTGATCTACAGAAACCATGTGGAAGCCCAGAATCCATGCCCCAGCTGACCATAGAGAGCAAGCAAACTGTTTTTGAGGAGTTTCCCACTAAATATTCCATTTAAATACTCAAATAGGGTGAATTCTTTATAGTGAAGCATATTTCCCATAGTTAACTCTTTTTAAATTTATTTATTAGATTTAAAAAAAATATCAATCCAAGTTCCCACTCCCTTCCATCCTCCCATATCCTCCACATAGCCTCCAACCCCAACCCCATCTAATCCTCAAGATGGTGAGGCACATTGCCTTGTGGAAGGTCCAAGGCCCTCCCTACTACATCTAGGATGAACAAGGTATCCATCCAAAGAGATTAGAATGCCAAAAAGCCAGTACAGGCAGTAGGTATAAATACTGGTGCCACTACCAGTGGCCCCTCAGGAAACAATGTTTACTCTTTATGACTGTCTTTTTCTTCCTCTCTTTCTGTCTCTTTCTCTACTCTCTCCTCTTCGAGAATATTCTCACACATGCTTGAGAAGCATTATAGTTAAGAATGAAAATCCGGCCCCTTCATACGATCATGTCTGTGTTTGTGCATGGATGTATGTATGTAATTATACATAATGGGGGTCAGCTGACCCAATCTTGTGTGTGGTGTTCTTGCTGTGTGGCCATCAGTTGATAGGAGAGGTCGCCACACTTTCTTAATTGCATCTTCATTGTAATTTCCTCAGCACTTAAATGATATGTCTCTGTATTGACTCCATGAATATATTGATATCCTATTGGAAAATTAGTTAAAAGACAGGATGACGTTTGAGTGATAATTCTGTCTGCCAAGGCGAATAACCTTTTTAAAAAAAATCTCCGAAAAGTTTCCCCTAATTTTGTTCTTTCCTTCTCCTAAGATCTTTACAAAATACTGGGTATCTCTATGACATTCTTAGACACAAGAGATTTTGATTTCCCTGATGCCCCACCTCGCTCTCCTCTTGCAGGTTCTGTTCTGATTCCGAAGGATCTAAGGACTCTGAATTCCCTCTAGCACTTCTTTTACCAAGTCCTGCAACATCCCATTGGGAGTCAAACACCCTATGGAGTGAGGATAACCTGGTCTTGGGATGGAGTGTCTCCTCCTCCCAAAGGCTGGAATGCATGGAGTGCCTTCACTTGCTCTGCTGGTGATCTTTCCACTGCCCTAGGACT